AAAAAAAAAAAAAAACCTCTAACAAGATTCAGTTGCACAGAGCCTGCCTGGCAAGCACAAGGTCCTGAGTTCAATCCCCGGTACCAAACAAACAAAAAACCCCCAAAACTCTAATAAGATTACCAATAAAATAAAAATTTAAAGATTCATAATAAAATTTATTCAACGTCTTCTTGTGCATAAATGAACTCAGATATTACACAAAAATACATATGTACTCAAGATTTCATGGCACTCCTTTCTCAAAGCCTATCACTTAAAATGAGCTTATTTTTGAGATTTTACAATTCACTCACTTATTCATTTACAATTCATTTATCACATTCATTTACAGTCAACCCAAATCACAAATTCAACAAATGTTATTGATGTCTACCATGTACCAGGCATTGAACAAAATTACTTACTCTCATGAAACTTAACATTTTAACTTAAATGTTCCTTGAGGAACTCAGCCTACCAAGAGGGAGACTTGTAAGTAAGTAGGTACAGCAATTCTATAAGTGCTATAAAATAACAAGGAATGTTTAGAGGGGTCAGGAAAGATGTTTGAGCTGACTCTTGTCAAGCAGTTTTCCAGTATGACAAAAGTTGAAGGGCAATGCAGGCAGAAAAACCAAACAAGGAAAAAGCTTACAATGAACTATGAATCATTCACTGTGGCTGAGCTGAGGAGCTTTCTTTAGTTTTGTTTTTCCTATTTGTTTTTGCAGGTTTTCTAGGGGAACAGGAATGGTGCAAGGAACGACAAAAGTTATGATGTTAAAAAGGTTAGTGGGCACCAAAACCATAAAGACTTAATATGTCAGATTAGGGAACCTGGACTTCATCCTACAGGCAAGAATAAATTATCCAACTTTGAACAAATAAAAAGACTCAAATTTTGGAACTATCACTATGAAAACACAGAGGAAGCTGAACATATCATAATATAATAACAACCACCATGAATGTCTTTTGGGGTAAGTTTTAATTATCTTGGAAACTAAAGATATCCTTTCTATCTGATCCTTAGCCTGATAGCCAAAATTAAAACTAGATGGCTATCCTCTCTTATTACCAAAGCTTTTTGTCCCTTCATTTCATAAGTAACTGTGGGAAATGAGAATAGTGCAGATCAGCGGATCTCAAACTTTTGTGTGTATCAAAATCATAATCACTTAGTGCCGGGGATTTAGCTCAGTGGTTCCGCCGCCTGCCTAGCAAGCGCAAGGTCCCAAATTTGATCCCCGTACCAAAAAACAAAACAACAAAAAAACAAACAAACAAAAGTCATAATCACTTAAGTAACTTGTTAAAAATAAAATGATGCTTAGGAAGGTGGGGTGGTAGAGCATGCCTATTATCCCAGCACTCTGGGAGGCTTAGGCAGGAAGACAGCAAGTTCGAGCACAGCCTAGTCAACTTAGCAAGACCTTGCCTCAAAAACAGAAAAAGGGCTGGGGATGTAGCTAAGTGTGAAGGCCCCAGGTTCAATCCTCATTTCTGGGCTAGGGAGAGCTGTTTAGCCTGGGCTCCCCCAGTCAATGATTCAGGTCAATGGTTTGGAAAGAGTAACTGCACCAGGGGATACAGAAAACCCTACTGGGATACAATGGAAAAAAATTACATCTTTTACTGGCATTTACTTCATCACCTAAAACTGTCTCATTTGTACATGTTTTATATTATAATAAAGATTATGATACAGGTAACTTATAATAAGCACATACAGGATCAATGTTCTATTGTCTAACTGACAGAATAATCAAAGAGTTTAGAAAACACTGATCTAGGTAGTAACTTTTTATTTATTTTTTATTTAAAAAAAATTTTTTTGGAACTGGGGATCGAACTTGGATCCTTCTGCTTGTGAGGCAGGCAGTGGAACCACTGAGCTAAATCCTCGGCCCAGTAACTTTATAAAAACACTTCACTGCCAGGCATTGTCATGTGTACCTGTAGTCCCAGTTACTTGGGAGGCTGAGGTAGGAGGATCTCTTGAGCTCAGAAGTGCAGTGCAGCCTAGACAACATAGCAAGAACCCCCATTTTAAAAAAATCACCAATTCATATATTTATTCCTTTCATCACAGAATGTATGCATCAACTTTAAATGAAGACAAAATTTCAAATATTTGCTTAAAATAGACAGAGGACTTAAAATCAATAGGCCCTTGAATTCAAAACTGTATAATCTCTTTTTCTCTGAAAAATATGAAAATCATTTGTTATCTCCTAGGCTTAACTGCTATGCTCACTAGATTTAACTCCATAAAACTGCTAGTTCCTGAGAGGGAAGTTATATAAAATATTTATACTTTCCTAAAAACACCTGGTCTTCTAGAAAATCAGTACTTATTTTATCTTGGGTTAATACTGAATGACAGAGGAGAAAAAGAGTAGTAATAGCTGAAAGATAAAGGGGACTAAAGGATAAATGATACCTACTAAAACTTCTCTTAAAAAAAACCTCCCATCTCCAAAGTATCACCATGTTCCTTCCACCACTTCATCATGTTTTTATGGATGAAAGTATCTATTATCAATGTTTCCAGTTACATGAATCTTTTTGAAAACACAAAATATTGTAGTGGTTCCAACTCCAGAAACTAGAAGTTACTACTGAAGCTTAGGCTTTTCAAACAGACCAGCAATTCAGGCAAGGGGGCCAACTGGATCAAATTCTTAATCAGAGCCCTAACAGCTGAGATGCCTAAAATATTCTACGGTCGTACAGGCAGGAATAGATTGGGGAAGATTTTTCTTTTTCCTCATGATACAATATGAGAGAGATATGAAATCAAGAAGAAATAGCTTGATGTCTACAGAAGATGCTCACTAGTTTCAATCACAGCTAAAATCATAAGGGAAAAAAAAAAATGTTAAATGTCAATCAGTGATAAAGGTAGAAAGAAACTATCAATAGGCCCAGCAAAGTAGTTTACCAAAGTGGTTTTCTGGTACAGAATAGATTAAGTCTGTACTACCATGAAAAACCTATCAAATCATATATATATATATATATATACTTTTTGGTACTGGGAATCGAACTCAGGACTTTGCACTTGAGAGGCAGACGCAGTGCCACTGAGCTAAATCCCTCGCCTTCAAATCATATATATTTTTTAAAGATCACAACGCACCTTCACAAACTATGTAAATTGATAATGACACACTTCAGAATAGGAAAATTAGTTTGTACCAAGATAATCATTGCTAAATATCCATCAAATCATACTTCTCTTTCCCTTTTTTTTTTTTTTTTTGGGTACCAGAGATCTAAATCGGGACCTTGTGCTTGCGAGGCAGGCGGTGGAACCACTGAGCTAAATCCCCGGCCCTTCTCTTTCCTTTCTGATTTAACATATTAACCATTTAATCAACACATTAATTGAACGTCTACTACAATGCAGGTGAACATTCTGTGACATACACCACAGAAGTTGTCCATCAGAGGGCTGCGAAAGCTAAAAGAGTGTAAGTGCTTAAAATTAGGAAATAAGGTGTTTTTCTATGAAGATCTTCCACCAAATAGTCTTCATATTTTCATTTTTATTCAAAACAATTACTCTAATCACAGAAGGAATTCTTGAACTTAAAAAGGAAATAACCAGGGCTGGAGGTTTAGCTCAGTGGTTCCAGTGTCTGCCTGGCAAGCGCAAGGTCCTCAGTTCGATCCCTGTTTCCACAGGAAAGGGAAAAAAAAAAGAAATTGGGGCCTGGGATGTAGCTCAGTGGTTCCGCTGCCTGCCTTGCAAGCGCAAGGTCCCGAGTTTGATCCCTGGTACAAAAAAAAAAAAAGAAAGAAAGAACCACTCTAATCTTAG